GATAGAGTTAAATTAAGGATCTCCGATTTGCCCATGTTAATTTTAAAGTTGGTGAGGGAGCCATATTCGTTTAATGCCGCCGTAATTTGGGGGAGAGAAATCCGCTGATTCCTTACATAGAACAGAATGTCGTCTGCATATGCCGCCAATTTGAATTCACCTGCCGGGGTAGGGATACCCTGAATGTCAGGGTTGTTGCGGATGGTGGCCAACAAAGGTTCCAATGAAATAGCAAATAAAAGGGGGGACAGGGGGCACCCCTGTCTCGTGCCATTATATAACGTAAGAGAGGGAGATAGGGACCCATTAATGCGGATTCTAGTGGTAGGGTTGGCATAGAGTGCTGAAATCCACTCCATCATCCGGGAACCCAGACCTAGGTGAGACAGGGTGGCTAGGATAAAGTCCCAGGTCACCCCGTCAAATGCTTTTTCCGCATCGGTGGAGAGGAGCAAGGTGGGAGGCTTTTGCTGCCTAGCTATATGTATTAAGGAGATAGATTTAAGAGCGTTATCCCTGGCTTCTCTGCCCGGAATAAAGCCCACCTGGTCTGGGTGTATCCATGAAGGAAGGAGCGGATACAGCCTAGTCGCCAGGATCTTAGCGTATAATTTGGTGTCTATATTAAGTAAGGAAATTGGACGATAGCTAGCGCAATTCGAGGGATCCTTCTCTGGTTTGGCTATTACTGTAATATGGGCCAGGAGCGATTCTGGGCGCATGGGTAAGTTAGTGGAGATAGCGTTAGCGTAGCCCAATTGACTTTTTGACCTGCAGGCTGCATATAAGTGATCTCCGCGACATCGCCAAAATCACTTGTACAAAATGAGCGGCGAGTTCCCTGCTCTACATTTAGCCCTGTTTGCCCAAAGCAGGGTTAAATGTAGAAAAAAATACCCGCCTGGCTCCCGCAACTGCATGTCCCGGGCATTTGGTGATAGGAATTCCACACCCCTGCTGCCCCTCTACTCCCTGCTGCCCCAAGGCCATGGTGGCCTGGTGCAAAATCCGGCCTTGGTAAAGATAATTTACTTTTACTCTACAGAGGGCAACAATCCATGTGTAATTATCAAAGGTAACATTTTTGGGTACAATGTAACCTGATAAAGGATTTTGTCTTTAAAAGTACTATATTTGCCTATAATACCTAAAGGAGAACTATGGGGTTAAGGCTTTTCCCCATAGTTCTCCTTAGGGCAACGGGAGGACACAAACTAGCGTCCTACCGTCACCCTAAGCTCAGTATACCGCAAGCTACCGCTCGCGGTATAATGAGATGCCGCAGCTGAAGCGGATCCCTACAATTATGTCTGGATCCGCCCAGCTGCGTGAGTGACAGCTGGCTCTGCCTAGCTAGAGGCAGAGCCAGCTTTACCCGCCCCCTCTCCGTCCGTTCCGCCAGTCAGCGCTGGTGGATTGGAGCAGGGAGGGGGGAATCCAGTCCCTCCCCTGTCACGGCGGAGAGCTGTGACAGGATCGAGAGGTGAGCGAACGCCGGTATGTGTTCGCTCACTTCGCGATCTACTGAGCCGACCTGTGACAGTCTCATTGTCACAGGTCGGCTAGAACTGTGAGGTGAGTGAAAAGCACTCACCTCATAGTTCTCCTTTAAATAGATTTAGTAAATCCATAGATCTGAATGTGTCAGAGTGTACAGAAGTTAATGCATGAGAATGATTTTAGTAGATGCAGAGATAGATATACCATTCCAGGATAAGGCAGTTCTGCATTTATTTTACAAGCTCAGTCTCTGTTAGGGAAATCCTTGATAAATGGAATTGATAAATACTGCAGCTCTAAAAGACTATTTTTTGTTTTCACATTTATTTACCAATCAAAACACACTTTAAATGGCAAAACAAAACCCTTAACAGCCCATACAAGGTAGAAATATTTACAAATTAGTTAGAAACATTCACAGGAGTGGCTTTAAATGTGCTTTGAAATAGAATGTTTTATGTAATTTGTTAAGTGAACCTTTTATAAAAATGTCAACATAGGCAATGACTATTATAGTAGAAGTATACAGATTGTATTTTTTTTAATATGAATCAGTTTTATGAATGTTACCAACCTAGCCACTTAAATGTTTGCCCTTGCTGATGGGCACCCAGGTAGTTTGGATAGATTGTTGTACACTGTTGTACAAGGGTGGTTGGAAGATGCTCACATATACACGCATATGGAACAATAAATACATTATTGTTAGAAGCTATTGTTGTGAAAACCTTAGGAAGGGAATACTTTGAAAAGGAAACATAAGTATATATAAGTGTTTCCCATAGTCTGGTATATTTTCTTCCACCGGTTCTCTAGTTGAGTGATTTCAGGTGGAATTGGATTTGAATACAGAATCTTGTTAATCCCAAAGAACAGAACACATTCATTTAGTGGTTTCAGTCAGCACACTGCCTTTAGTGCCTAGCAGCCAACGCCAGAAAAAGTGTTTTCGCGATGGAAAAAAACCACTATAAACTATGCTGCATATGTTGAAGAGTGCAGTATCCTGATGAGACATCACTGTTAAATTAGATTGAAGTGTTGTAAAGTGATACTAAAGCCTGATTTACTAAGATAGAAAGAGAGCTGATGTGAACCTGTTCTCACTTCAGATATTCAATCATATGAAGAAAAAGCTTTGCATATGATGGAGGCTTGAAGAGGGCACAAGTTTAATTCAGCTTTACCTTTAGTCAATCTATACCTGTACCTGTGCACGGCACTACACTTTGCATGTGGGCCAGAATCACTTTTTACTACACCTGACGTTTTATTAAATTAGGCTCATTGGCTTGCTGAGAAAGTACATTGGCAGCCCTCTGTGAGTCCATAGCAAAGAAAAGGATGTGCGCAAAGATTCAAAGAGGTGTACAACAGAGATCAAATTGGCAACAGCTGGAGCCTTGAAGATAACTGTGGCACGGAATATGTGAAATAACTTCTGGTGTTATACTACGTATTTGACGTATGCTACCAGTGGTAGAACAACATGCATTATTTACAGGCATAAAGAGAGCTATTTTAAGAACAAAGGCAATTGCTATGCATGTATAAGAAATGAATAATCTATGCAAACCTCTGATTAGTATGACTAATCCCAATTATTGAATTTAAATCCCTTCAAACTAATATTTGCAGTGCGCACTATGCTTAACACAACAGGTGATTATTTAGTGTTCCAAACAATACTCAGTTTGTATCTACTTAGCATTCAGATGAAATGCTGGCAAGCACCTGCATGTACAGTAATAAGCTCCTGAAATCTAATACTCCAAAGCCTCCAATAAAAGGAATATACTGGTATTAAGTGTGTGTCATGAATAAAGTCTAGCACGCTTTATTCCTCATCTCTTTGTTTACATCTCTAATCTTTGGTGTTACTAGAAATGACAGAACTTGCAAAGCTATTGCAGTGTTACTGAGATATATTGCTAAACCCCTCTGGATCTACAATTGCTTCATATACCTTAATTATAGGCAGCATTCATTATTTGTACATACAAAATGCATTTTGTATACAAAGCAGACCGAAGGGTGATTTATACACACAACTATACATACAGATATAACTAATAAAGAGCTATCATATTAATATGATGAAGCAATTTGTAGATCTTTGTTACACCTCAGTAGTAACATAGTAAATAATGATTGTGACATAAACAGCTCTTTGCAGTAGATTACAGCAAACAGCCTGTGTCAGTTTAAGCCAAAGTGCATTGTCATTATCTGTAATTAATCATCATGGTGGATGCAGTGCACAGCCTACTAAATAGAGTACCCATACATTTAGATGTAGCTTACTGCTAGCAGCTAATTGACAAACTTCAAGAAGACTTACCTAATCTTCAGTATATCTCAAATAATGTTTCAGCACTTGCTTAACAACCTCCTAGCTGCATCTAAAAGGTGATACATCTTGAGCTCAGTCTATTCCTGACAACAGCATAATAAATCACAGCACAATCTACACACAGCCAGTACACACAGGTACGATGTAAACAGCTGTTTTTTGTTTTTTTTCTTGTGATCAACGTGGAGAAATCTCTCCAGCAACACAAAGCAAGCACAGCGAGCAAGCAAAGCACATCTTTCAGCACAATCCTTGCTGGACAGCGCCGGACTCCCCAGGACCCTAGTGATGAGGGATGAGCTGTCCTATCTACTTATCATCACCTCTCTTAAGACAATCGTTCATTATTAAATTATTATTTTCATGAATAAATTATAACTAGTATTATTAGTAGTAATAGCAGTATGATGATCATTATTAGGAGGAGGAAGAATATAGTAGTAGTTTGCTTATTATTATCATCGGTATTATTATAAGCTACATGGTACCATGAATAAAGTGGTAGAGAAATAAAATTATAGAAAATACAGTTGTTGTCCTTAGCAACCAGTTTCCATCAGCACCTTTCATCCTCTGCCCTTCTCAGCAGTTTGCTGTTATCAACATCAGCACCACTTTCTATAGCATGGTACAGAGGTCGGTATGAACACCCATATTGTGAACTAACCATATTTCGACCTGTACCTTAGAGTGACATCTCAACATCTTCAGTGGTCAAAGTTGTGCTAAGGATGAAGCACCGACCATCAGCTTCATTGATGGACCATACTGCTCTGACCTTCCCATCCATGAATCTAAAAGGTGCATCGCAGCCTCCAGCACAAACAGCACGTAAAAAGGCATCCACACTAGCTAGGCAAACACATCCTGTATACGCCATCGCAGCAAGGGAACTTGATAGAATTGCTTCCCTACATACATTTGCCCTACAGCTGTGTTTTACATGCAAATGATGAATCCTATTATGTATGCTCTGAAAATCACACGTTACATAACACACCAGGAGAAGCAGGGCAGCTAGAGAAGCAATGAATCAATAGTACAACCCAGTAAAACACAAGAGAAGGGAGAGTCTGTTGTTTGCGAGGCTGCATTGGAGCTGAAGCATCGGCTTGTCTGTCCCTCTGATCGCTCTGTGCCAACTCACCTTTGAGTTTTGCGTTGGGTTCACCACACACACCAATTGTCCAGCAGAGGAGAAGACCCGCTTGGCTTGATAATGCTGAAATCTCAGGTGGATCAGATCTAACACAGCCCCAAAGCACTGAGTAAAGAAAAGCATCACAACTTTCTGCCTCTTCCCCTGTCTTGTTCAGGGCTTTGGAAACACAGCCTGTCAGTCCTGGAGTGGAGGAGCGGATTGGAGCTGTGCCTGAACACTACACTCCTGCACAGCCTAGCATGCCTTCATATTTATCATCAAAATAAGATGGTTAGAATCTTGCAGCAGTCGGCTGACCAATCAAAAGAGCAGGAATGTTATCCTTGAGGACCAGAGCCAGCCAATAACAAATGCCTCCCCCTTTGCTGAAGCTCCCTGATGAATAGAGGTAGTGCTAGGGAATGTACTATTGCACATTACCATACATCAGCGCATCACATTCATCTTTCCATTACAGACTAGCCTATCCAGCGCTAAAGTGAAGCCTAAAAAAATGATTGCTTAATGTCTTCATTTAGTAATTGATGCACTTCATTCTGAAATCACTCTTTAGCTTCAAGAAGGAAATTCACATGAAGGGGGGAAAAATGCATTAAAGAAGGAAATTCGGAAGAAAGAAAATTCAGTAAAAGTTAAAGAAGCAGATAAGCGGTGCTCTTCACTTTCTAAGAGCAGACTTTTAACATTTATGAAGGGAGTTTATGGTAGCTGCTGAACTAGATTTATGTCCCGATTTAACTTGGTGTGAACGCTTTGATGGCATATCAGTCTTTTGCCCAGAGATAATGCAGCTTATATACAGACCCCACACTGAATGCTGACAAGGGCACTGGAGTTGCATGCAGAGAGCGTAGCAACATCTAATGTACACAGTTATGCATCTAAAAATATCTCTGGCATGATATGTGATTAATGCATGAAGGCAGAGTACTGAAAGCCAAGAAAAAGGTCGTGCAACTCAAACACAAATAAATCACTTTTCCTACAGGCAAGCCACATTGTGCTGTTCAAGAAATAAAGAAATTATCATAGGTTTAAAAAGAATTATATTTACACCAGCAGCAGTTGGATTAAAGCATATGTAAATATAATCACTTCAGGCTCAGATAAGCTTTAACATGGTAATGTAATTTCTAAAGTAAATGTCAATGTTTTTAAGTCTGCAGCTTTCATGAAAAAATACCTGGGGACAGGGCTGTTCTCATGCGTGGTCACCCAGAGCAGCTGCTGGGTGACACCCCGCTGGGACGTCATCACGCGCACTTACCAGTTGGCGGCCATCTTGGTGATGGATGCCGGCAAAGAGAGGGGAGGACATTCACCCGGAAGGTTAAGGTATGCCGCCAGGTCCCCTCCTCTCTAGTGCAATTGTCAGGCTTTCGGTCCGTGACTAAGTACCTGACTTTTCAGAGGGGGTACAAATCCAAAAATATTCACCAGCACATCAAAGCATATTCTGTTAATTCTTCTTTATTGACAACAGAAAGGTATGTCACAATGTGTGGTGACGTTTTGGAACCATTTCGGTCCCTTTTTAAGGCAAACAGAGTGAGGAGAAGGGACCGAAATGGGTCAGAAACATCTCTACACATTGTGGCACACCTTTCTTTTGTCAATAAAGAACAATTGACAGAGAATGCTGTGGTGTGCTTGTGACTATTTTTGGATTTGTACTTAATTTGCAGTGGCACCCGCAGTCATTACAGCCCCCACCCAATGTTTTGGGTTGTATCCGATCAGGAGTGTGATGGGAATCTATTAAGTTTTTCAGAGGGGGTGACACCGAAAGAATTGTCAGTCATTTTGGTGTGACCCCCTCTGATGGTGTCACACCCACCACACCCCCTTGTGATGCCACTGCTTCAGAATCCCGTAATGAACATCCTTGTTCAGGTCCTTCTTGTTATGGGGTGCATGCTCTGTCACTGTCTTGCAATTTCCTGCATTGTTCCACAGGCTTCCAATGCAGAATATAAGTTGTTATTACAACAAACATTATGCAGGCATGGTTCACTGTTGTCAACATTAGATAACATATTTCCTTTGCTCTTCACCTCTATCTACTTGCCATAATGTGGAATTTTGTTGACATTACCTTCCACCTGGAAAGAAAATATGTTAATAACATTCGTTTTTGCCTCCATTCACACAAATTGTTTATAAATACACCTCTCTGTATGGCACCTTTACAGTGCTTGATCACCACATTACACCAGAAACCTAGAGGTGCAACACAGGATTGGCCCTGCAAAAATAATTTCACATTTTTCAGCCTAGGCTGAGCTTCGAAAAATATATATATGGCGCCTTGACAGTGCCTGGTTACCAGAATACACCATAACCTTTGAGGGGCAACACAGTGTGATTGACCCTGTAGAAAAATAAAGATTTTGAAGCTCAGACACAATTTATGTGTAGCACATTGCAGTACTGGAGAACCAAGATAGGGCAGTAGAGGCAGGTTGAAATGTTAATTGTGGCAGTCCAGCAGCAGCAGAAGATGCTAAGCAAGCCAACAGCTAGAGGAAGGAACAGGTAATGGTGGCATGACATGGTAATTGTGGTGGGCCAGCAGTGTTGGCAAGAGATAGTTATGGTGTTGGCCCAGCAGCGGTAGAAGAAGCTGCCAGGAGATGGTGATGTTTGCAGGCAAGGCAAGCAGGTAAGCTGCTAATTCTGTAAGACATAATAATGTTTTTTGGACCAGATTCCCCAAAAATAGTCATTTAGGATCAGCTGCAGGGGTTTTGTACTCATTGCTGATCCATTTCTTTATCTTTATAAAGGTGAGTTGGTCAACTGTATCAGGTGACAGGTGGATTAATTTCTCTTTCACAAAAAAGTCCACTGTGCTGAATGCACTCTCTGCAGTGGCTGGTCAAAAGCTCAATTACATGCTGGGCAAACTCTGGCCAGTGGTCAAGCTTGGACACCGAAAAGTCCATGGAGTCCCTGGTTCAAAGGTTGTCCTCATCTGCCCTGGATCCCAGGTAATCAAGATCACATGGTTTAGGTGCAGCTTGGCCAATGCATTCTAAAGAATGATTTAAAAAAAGCCTCACTGAGCCCATGCCACAGCTGCCCCTTCTTCCACAACCTAAGAATCCAAGGAATCTTGGCCATGAATAGGGAACCTGCCACTTTCTGGAAAGGTGGCCAAGAGGTTCTTCCACATCACCTCTTCCAAATGGCAAATTGTTTGCTCCCTCTGGGATGGTAGCATGATCTCCGCCATTTTCACTTTGTATCAGGGATACAAAAGGGTGGCCAGCCAGTAATGGTCCCTCTCCTTCTTAGCCAAGGGATCCCAACCTGAAGCAAGCTATTGCTTCCCGTGCTATCTGCAGGTTTTTTTTAGTATTCTGACAGCTCAGAATAAAAACAAAATATATTTTTTTTAAACAACAGGAATTAATAGCTAGATTGCTATTGGCTATTTCAATTTGCCATAGCCAATAGCAAGCTGGCTATAGCACCCGCCCTCTGCTGATTGACACCTTCAGGTCCACCTCTGTTGATTGACAGCAGCAGTAGGCGGGTGCAATAGCTAGTCTGCTATTGGCTATTGCAATTTGAAATAGCCAATAGCAATTTAGCTATTCATTCCAATACTGTTTTTTTTCTTTTCCTCTGACTGACGGCGGCCGGCGGCCCCGATGTCAGGAAAAAAAAACAGCAGGGAAAGGTTTACTTTGCTAGATCGAGCAGAGTAAACCTTTCCAGGAGAAATGTTTCTCTCCCGGGCAGCTGGGGGCCGCTATATAATAGAGGGAGACTCCTGGAACGTCCGGGATGTCTGATAGCCCGAATCCTGGGGTACTTGCACAAGCATTGCAGTATGAATGAGCCCATTTGCCTTAAATTTCTGATGGTAAAGGACCCCAAGTTCTCAGAGTTGATGAGAACAACAGTGTCCTCAGTTATCTCACCCCACTCATGTACCACTTCCGAAGTTTGGGAGAGGTGAGATTTGTCACTGGGGACCTGCCCCATGTCATCCTTCTCTTCATTGCCAGTGTCATGGATATTTTGGTTGGACAAATCTCCGGTGCACTAAAAGGTACACGTTCGGTATTAAAATGCACCCAGCACAAACAATCCCGTCGCGCTTAAAAGCACGCTGCATTCAGTTATTTTTGTATAAGGGATGAAATACTTCTTTGGCACCAGAGAGAGTCAGACACGATGTTGGTTCAAGCTGGAGTCAGTGTAGAAAGGGGTGAACAGACCCCCAACTCCTTCATTTATTAAGGCAATAGGATGACGCCCAGTGGGAGACGGCTTTATAACATCAGCCAGTCAGCCCAGAAAGTACAGGTACATGTCAAAAGGAAAAGGGGAATACACCAACATGGCCGAACAGTGAAATGCACACACCTCATCCCTGTAAAACAAGGAAGGATGAGTCATGTTCATTGTCCCGACCGGCCATGTGGATGCCCATCCCCCATCATCGTCAACATAGACCCCATTCAATACTGCTCAGAGTGACCAGTATCTAGTAAGATCATTCTACTTGTTCTTACAGGTTTGAGACTATCTAAGGAGACATTGCTAATGCGGTTATCTATATACGGTACGAGTATACTGACAAGGCAGATATCAATGTCTTCTTATAAAAGCAGATATGTATCCAAAACGGATAGCGAGTCCGCAATAGAGGTATAATACGTATCTCATTATACGGACTTCGCTAATGTGTACATACGTTTGAAGGCAAGAAGCCCAGCGCGTTGCACTTAGGGCTCACAAACCGCCAAACGCCCCCACACACTGCGAACATGTCTCCAAGCCCATGCGAAGGTTTTCATACTGATGGTTTTACCGCTGGTCCCGATTCAACCCAAGTACCCTCTGCTAGAGCATTCCTTGGTTACATCCGACACAGGGAGACAGATGACAATCTATAGAACACACACATCCTAGAATAAAATGTCCACATAATTCCATATAATAAAATTTCCACAACACCAGCACCCAAACCCTCCTCCTCATGCTCCTTCTCTGCCTGCTGCTGCTTCACAGGGAAGCAGTCAGTTGTTAGAGGATCCTGCATGCTTTGAGAGAGTAGGAATCCTTCCTCTTCCTTCTGTACTGTGCCTCCAGTGCCCAGTATACTACATAATGCAGTATGTGCTCCAGCAGGAACACCACAGGGATCGTGTCACTGATCCATGCCTTGTTGCAGCTTCAAATTGTGACAAGACAGTACACAGGTCCTGAATCAGGAGCTACTGATGTGGTAAAAAGAACCCCAGATCCCCAGAGCCTGCCCTCATCCCATACTCAAAAAAATACTTATTGATGGCAGGCTGCTAAAGCTGCAACCTCTGCAGCATGGACAATGTTGTACTCAGGCATGTATCGCATATCAGGTAGTTGGCAGGCAGTTTGTGCTGCTGCT